CTGTTCTCTGCGCGCCCGTCGAGGTGTGCGCTGACTCGGACGCGGTTCCCGCCCAACATAGACACAGATGGGAAATTGGCCACGGCGGAGGCGGCGACGCTGGCGCCGTACGCGTGCTTCCCGACGGCTGGAACACCCAGCAATTGGCCTGAGACAGCCGCCCGCCCAACGTCGAGCGAGTCCGGCGCGCGGTCGATGTTGCTCACCCGTCGGTTTGCGCAGGACCTGGCCCATACGGGTGCTCGTTCAAGGCCGTAGGGTGCGCCCTCGGTGTGGCGCGGACATGCTGCCTACGTCGTCCGATAGGCAGGATTCGACACGACGTGCGATCCGCACGTACGGCGGCGCACATATTCCTGTACGCCCGCTGCAGACCGCCCCAGATGCTCGGAATACACACATGACGCCGTCGACATCCTTCGCCCGGAGCACGGTGAATACCGCTCCAAACCCCTTGGTCATCCTCCGTCCTTTGCACCCTGAGCGAGCGCGTCTCATGCGGCTGGCTAGCTACTACATCGTGCCTCCTCTATGTACGTTTACAGCCCGTCTCGACGTGTGTAGCACTGACAGTGCCGTGATAGGACACCCCATAGGCGCCGTCAGAAAACATCTCCCGCCGCAGCAATACTGAACACTCCGCTTTGAAACGCGGAGAGCAGGTCGACATAGCATAGACAACGATGTGGGTGCATGTACGAAGCCCTCGCAGCCATCGTTCGACCGCAATGTCGCTTCCTCCTCGGCCGCCCCCTTTCCCGGCCTGCCATCCGCTCTCCCGCCACCTACAACTCGTTGGCGCGCTCCAATCCAGCACTATATGGCACATACAACGCTTTCACGCGCTATGTAAGTTCTCAAGTCGTCCAGACAAAACCTGCGCTGAGAACATCCATTTTTCAGATTGCCCCCGCTCAAAAACATCACCAGCACGCCGCAAAGCGCGCGTATCGACGCCTCTCGCACACATACCACATCTCCAGAGCGCCCTCTACCACGCGCGACGACCTCAGCACCCCACGACAGCATCCGCCGCGCACACACAACACTCCATCCGCAGCCAACTCCCCCGACTCGCCAACTCCGCCCCGCCCCGCCCCCTCCCCCCACGCGCTCAAATTCACGACGCACAGCTCCTACAAACCAGGGAGCACGCACCCCGTGAGTCCCAGCGCGCTGGGGGCAAAAAAAACCGCGCCAATTTCGCTCATTTCCTTGTGTTTTCCACGCGCAGATGCGCCGACATGCGTATTCCGACACGCGAACGCGCCCTGCCGCCGCGCCACTTGGCGTGGGCGTGCCTCGGGACGGTCGGCATCGTCCCCCGCCGCTTGGAGGACTGTGCGACGGCGAGATTGCTTGTCGCGCACGTCGCAAGTGACGACTCGGAGGGAACACCGAGACGAACTCGACGTCTCGGTCGCGCATCGCGCGGCGGACAAGAACACGGTGCGGTCAACACACCGTCGGCCCGCTCGTACGCGCAAGCAGCCCCGCGCTACGTCCGGGGTGCGCCCCTTCCCCGTGAGCGGTCGGATAGAGCGTCGTACGTATTTCGAGTGTTCGAGGCTCTGGACGCGCCGCTGACTCGTGATTCGCTCACAGGACAGCCAAGACGCGCACACACAATGCCGTGCGTCTTCGCGACGCAGTTCGCTCATAGGATGGTCGAGACGCACTCGATATCGTGCTATTTAGACGCGATGGAGCGAGGGGCGCACCTCGGATACCTATGCGACCCTGGCCAACAATAGCGGATGCGGACAAACCGCTTCGTGCAGCGCCGCCGCTTGCATGATGCTCTGCTCGCCCGGGGTCTCGTATTGGGTGCAATCTCACGAATCAGAACGTACGAGGTCCGCGAGCAGCTGGGCATCCGACGACGAATAGCAGTATTCAAGGCCCTCGCCCCGTACGCTACGACATCGCCTCGGGAAGGAACAGTCTTAGTGTATCGGCCTCGGTCCGCGAACACGATCCTGGTCCTGCACGCTACGCCCGGGATGCGTACGAGCCAGAGATTATGGTATGTGCTCCAGCTACATCCTGCGAGCAGAGGCTCACTGTTCACCCGCTATGCGCTCACAGGACGACCCGCTCCTTCGCGTCGAGAATACACGTGTTTCGCACCCCAGATCATGGGCCTGGACGCGTGCACTGGTACGTCGGGATGCTACACGAGCGCGAGCGCGGAAATCGCCGCTGCGGCGCCCGGAGGGTGAGACTTGCGCAGAGCACCCGCCTGTGCAACTGTAGCCCGCTGCTCGGGCACGTCCCCGATCCCACTCCATGTTCCGCGTCCTGCAGACGTCAGGAGCTCTTCCAGTGGGCATTCTCAACACCGTGTTCATGTGCGTACGGGTCGAGTTCGCGGCCCTTGCGCCAGACAATGCTGTGGCCGGCGGCCAAATGCACCCCAGTTTTGACTCTCCCGCCTCAATAATGCTCCTGCAGCGCTCGTAAATGCGGCAGAGAACGTCTATGCACCGTTTCGCATGCATCGAGCACCATTTCCGCGCCCTGCACGACGATTGTATTTGCAGGATCTATGTCATTTTCGAGCACTTTCATGCGCAAAATACTTTAAATCGAGCATTCTGCCCCACCCTCGCCTCGTATCGCCGCCTCGGCTTGCATGCATACTGCCGTAACCCCGCGGAACACTGTCCCGTCGCGTTACAGCGCGTACTGACGGTTTGAAATTGCGCGTTTTCTGCATTCCAGGTGCCTGGCCGGCGGCACCCACACCGAAGATCGATGATTGCGCCCATGTACCTCGTCCCAGGCCCACAAAAATGCGGCCGCACGAACCATCGCACCACGCTGCATGCTACCTGTGCGGTCTGCGTCCCCTGCTGAGACGAAATCCCATCAGCTCCGGGTACAAGCTCGGGAAGCTGTGAGCTTCAGCCACACAAGATCGGGCATTCCGACTCGCCCGTACCCCGCACCGCCGCCTAAACTCGTACACACGCCGCTGTGGTCTCCCCGTGTGCTCCCGCATTGCTCTCAAGTGCGGGTGATCGTTTCGCAGATTGATACAATCTTTCGCAGACTCCTTCGTGGTCCCGAGCAGGCATCCTGGCGCGTCGAAAGCGCGTGACTGTAAGGGCCCGATGGCGATTCCAAGAGCGCAGACGAGGGACGAGAAGCGCAGCGTGAGACGTGAGAGCAGAAGGAAGGAGTTGGTTCGGCGAGGGGCCCCGAGTGGGCCCCGGGGTGCATAAGTACAGCGCGGGTATCTACGGGCGTCGGGCGCAGTCGGCACGCGACGGTGAGGTACATGATGGTGGCGTAGGGTGCGAGCAGTTGGGAGCAAGACGGTGGGCGTCGGGAGTTCAGTAGAACAGAGAACGAAAAAGGAAACAGGCAAAAGTGCGCGACAAGACGTAATCTAAAAGAGTCCATGGCAGGTAATGCCAAGTGGCTATTACACTACCTCCTCCTCAAAGGAGTTATGCGACGCTGGCAAGCATGACTCCTAGCGTATAGGCAGTCACAACCTGGGCGTACGACCTGCGTCGGAGCAAGTGTGATCCCGGCCAACAGCCATCCGAGCATCACGCATCACGACGAGGACGCGGCCGGGAGACACGTCCAGAACGGAGCGTAGTCTGCGCCGGAGGCACGTATTCGACGCGGGGGTTCGCATGAACAGGAGGTGGCAATGGAGCGCGCAGGCGAGCGGGCGGGACGGCGGCAGGGCGTGGAGCGAAGGGCGCGGGTGCGGTGGCAGGCAAAGCGAGGGAGGACGTGGGCGGTGGCAGCGGCGGTGAAGCGGAGGGCGGCGCGGACGATGGGACCTGTGAAGAAGAAGCAGAAGAGGGTGAGTGCGCATCGGACACTTTGTCAAACGTAGTACGAGTGGTAGCATAAAGTACGGAGTCAGGAGGACGAGGTGCACGTGGGTGGCGTCGGTGAAATCTATCGAGGAGTTCGTTGGAAGTAGTTGGAATGTCTGTAAGTGGGAGCCAAGAATCGTCGTCTTCGGAAAGGCCATGCCAGCGTATGAGGTATTTGTAACGTTGACCTTCCGAGCGTCGAGGATAGTCTGTATAGTAAGCGGTACGTGAGTATCGTCGGCGAGACCGAAAGGGATGGGCGAAGCATGAGCGTGAAAGTCGGACGGGTCATGGTACGGTTCGAGAAGCGAGACGTGAAAGACAGGATGTAGGCGTGAAAGGTATGGGGGAAGGCGTAGCTGGTAGGTGACGTCCGAAAGGATACGCTCGACTGGGAACGGGCCGAGTCGACGGTGGTCGAGCTTGTCGGATAGACGAGTTGTCTTGATGTTCCGACGAAGCAGCCAGACCAGTTGGTCACGCTGGAACTTGGGTGCCTCCGAGACACGCTGGTTGTAGTAGCGTTCTTGGTGTGCTTGCGCCTTGCGTAACTCCGCGCGGAGTTCGTCGTGAACGCGGGCGAGACGTAGCGCGAGGTCGGCAGCGGCGGGCACACGGATGGGCTTGGTGAGGCGTGGGGAGAAGACGGGCGTGGAAGCCGAAGTTGACATAGAAGGGGGTTTGTTTCATAGATGTGTTGACGTGGTTGTTGAATGCAAACTCGGCGAGTGGCAAGTAGTCGACCCAGTCGTCTTGCTGGTACGAGACGTACGCACGTAGATAGCTCTCGAGTGTCTGGTTTGTGCGCTCGGTGAGGCCGTCTGTCTGAGGGTGATACACCGTTGAGTGCTTGAGTTCGACTTGCAGAAGCCGAGTGAGCTCCGTCCAGAACTGCGAAACGAAGGTCGTGCCGCGGTCGGAGATGATAGAGTCGGGGAGTCCGTGATAGCGGAAGATGTGGTCGAGGAAGAGCCAGGCGAGATCTTTCGCACTGGCCGCTTCGTTGCAGGGAATGAAATGTGCGTATCGAGTTAAGCGATTGCACACGACCCAGATTGAGTCGTACCCGTGCGACAAAGGCAGCTTCACAATGTGGTCCATTGTGATGCCCTTCCAAGGACGATCGGGGATGTCGAGAGGATGGAGCAGCCCGAAGGGCTTGTGACGCGGAGTTTTGATCCTACCGCAGACGTCGCACGTGCGAACGTAGCTGCGAATGTAGGTCGCCATTCCGGGCCACGAGAAGTCAGCACGCAGCTTTGCAAGCGTACGCACACGACCTGCGTGTCCACCTGTGGGGGCGTCGTGGCGTGACGAGACAATATCAGCGCGTAGTGAACGAGGGACATAGAGAAGACCGTCGTGGTAGACCAGCGAGCCATCCACCGCGAAGTTCTTGTCGCTTCGGGTGATTGCGGTCCGCCATTCTTGATCTTCACGCAGTGCGGCCTTATAGCGCTCGAGAAAGTCCGAGTTATCGACTGCGAGTGAAGTCAACGCAGCCACTCGAATTGCGGCGGACGGAGCGTCGAAAAGTTCCTGTGTGTGCTGAGGCATCAGTAGGACTTTGCGGTTGACCTGGAGGGTCTCATCTCCCTCTCGAGGCGCGAAGTCCGCACACCTCGAGGGCGCATCCGCAGGATTTTTGATCCCAGGAGCGTAGGCCAAAACGAAATTGAATTCAGAAAGGAACGTCGACCACCGTGCCTGACGGCGGTTAAGAACTCTCGAAGTCATAAAATACTCGAGATTCTTGTGGTCGGAAACAACAGAAACAGGTGCGGGCGTACCAATCAACCATGCACGCATGTTGCGGAATGACACGACAATTGCGAGCAGCTCTTTGTCGTAGATCTCGTAATTGATCTCGGCGGGCGATAGCTTGCGGGAGAAGTACCCGACAGGGTGCAGGAGGCCGTCTTGATCCGGCTGGTGAAGGACACCTGCAATTGCAAAGTCCGAAGCGTCAGTAGCAAGGGTGCACGGAAGGGAGGGGTCATAATGGCGAAGGAGCGGAGAGGACGTGAAGGCACACTTCAGCGTAGCGAAAGTGTTTGCAGTGTCATCGGAGAAGACGAACGGGGCATCGCGGGCCAGCTTGCGTGTCAGTGCATTGAGCAGGGCGCAAATGCGAGCGTAACCGTCAATAAAACGGCGGTAAAAGTTTGTGAAGCCAAGGAAAGACTGCACATCGCGAATGGACCGTGGAGCGGGCCAGTCTGCAACGGGCGCGAGCTTGCGTGGGTGCATACGAACACCGTCAGCACCGAGTAGAAACCCGAGGTACTCGACCTCTGCGTGGTCGAATTCGCATTTCTTTGCATTTGCAAAGAGGCCGGCAGTGCGCAGGCGCTCGAGAACGAGACAAACGTGGCGGTCGTGTTCTTCCTGTGTGCGTGAAAAGATGAGAATGTCGTCAATGTAGACGACGCAAACCACGTCGAGAAGGTCCCGAAGGACATGTTGGATGAATCCCTGAAAAACACCGGGTGCGTTAGTGAGGCCAAAAGGCATGACCGTATACTCGAACAGTCCGAGGTGCGTGCGGAAGGCGGTCTTCCACTCGTCACCTTCGCGAATGCGAATGAGGTTGAAGGCACTTTTCAAGTCGATGACTGAAAACACCTTGCAACCCTGGACGTGATCTAGACTCATTCTGGGGAGAGGTCTCACAGAGCAGGGTTGGAATTTCGCTCCAATATTTTGGGAGCATGTACATATCATATAGGAGAGGCCCTGTGCAGAATATTAGCAAAATCGGCGGACCGGTTTTGGAGCTACAGCCCTGGGAAGCGGCTGCACCTATATTGGTGCATTGCTGCATATTCCCTTGGATTGGGGCTTTGAAAACTCGTTGAGGGGTAGCAATACACTATATTGAGGTATGTACAAAGTTTCAGAACAGTCGGATCAGAAATGGGCGCTTGGCAGGGGGGAAAAGTGCGCAGATGAGGAGGAGCATAACTTCCCAATGTTCTTTGAGGGCATATGTTCGGAATTGAGTATATACAATCTATCCAGCATACCCCCAGGTATGAGGGCACAGAATTTGGGGCGGAGCAAGCGAGCGTAGCATGAGCTATGGGGCAAACAATGTTGACTTTCCTTGAGCAGAGGGCCAACC